GAGGTGAAATACCTCAAAAAATGAAAACTTTAAACTACTGAAGAAAATTTAAAGAAGACGCTAAAGAATGGAAACATTCCCCTATGTTTTCCCGGAATGGCAAAATTCACAAGTGGAAACCACCCACTCTGTTACCAAAAGTGATATAGACTCAGTCCCCATTAAAATTCTAATGACTTTCTTCACAAAACTAGAAAGACACTATAAAATTGGTCTATGGAAACACAAAAGGCTACTGATAGCCAAAGAAATATTGAGCATAAGGAACAGTGCTAGAGGTATCGCAATACACCTGATTGTAAATTATTCTTCAGATTCAATGAAACAAAAGTAGTATGGTGCCGGCCCCAAATAGGCATATTTCGTATGCAGTAGAATAGAGGCTCCAGAAGCAAACACACACAGCTGCAGCCAGGTAACTTTTGACAGCGGTGTCAAAATGCATCAGAGACAACACAGCTTCTTTAACAGGTGGTACTTGATAGCTCCATGTAGAATGCACCTAGACCCATCTTACACAGAAATCAATCCAAAATGGATTCAAGACCTCAATGTAAGGCCTGAAACTTTGGAACTTCTGGAGTAAAACATAAGGACAAACATTTTAAAATAAAGAATAGTCAAGAGCTTTCTGGGCAGGACTCTAATAGCTTAGGTAGTCACCCTGAGAATTAAATATATATATATATATATATATATATATATATATATATATATATGGCCGTACAATTAAAAACTTCTCCACAGAAGCAGCAAAAAGATGAAAGGCAGTCAAAGTATGGAGAAAATCTTTTCCAGATCTGCATCTGTCAAGGAACTAACATCTAGAACTCATGAAAAATTCTAAATAAAAGCTAAACATCATCATCATCATCATCATCATATAATCAATCAGTTGATGGGAGATCATCAGAACTTAACTATAAGACACTGCCACTGAATGCAACATGTACTTTAGATGCAAGATACAGAGAAACCAAGCTGGAGCTAAGCTGTGATCTTCTTCCCTCGGAACTAGCTTTCTTAGTTCAGGAAGTTGCTGTGTAGCTTGATGGGGAGAAAAGTCATCAACGGTTTCATCTAGTTATGAGCTCTATGAGTTTCAATAACAACTGGGCAGGCAAGATGTGCCCAATGGCGTAAAAGTGGATTGAGAGCTATGGTTCCTCCAGCCACTTTCTTAATGGATCTTAGGCCTCCTCCATGGGAGCCTGGTGCTGTAAAAGTAGACAAAAGTCCATGACTATGGAGGTCATAGGTCCTATGGGAAAACCTACTTCTGTCCTGCTATATGGATACAGTGTCAAACTGCCTCCTGGATGTTCATGTTTACATCCATAGATTATGGCTAGGCTTCATTGAAGAAGCATATTCTTGAAGTGGGCATTGGGGAATGCAGAAATTCCTAACTGATGGGAGTGCTGAGACCATGGAGTGATCAACCCTAAATCAAACATCTATATAACCCCCTCCAACGCTAAGAAGGGGGAGGTAGAAACAATGCCAAAGCCAAAGAGTACTTGCAATGCTGTGTTCTGGACATGACACCAGTATTGAACCCACGAACTCACAGCGACAGAGGACTGGGCTCATCAACACTCTGTCACGGATCGTGCAGAAGCTCACAAGTCCTGCTCTTCCTTTAGGAGGCAATTCATGGTTGATGGAGGCGGCAGAGTCATATTCCTCATTGGTGTAGCTCACCTAATGCTCATGCAGGCAACCTTAATTACAGCGGGCCACAAACAAAAACAGACAGGGAAGTACCAAGAGGCCTCTTGGGAGTAAGCAGAAGTGAGTAAGAGAGAATAACAAGGGAGATGATGATCAAATTGTAACTTATATACAGATAAGTAATGAAATCATGAAAATGAAGTTTAGAAACAAAATTGAGTAAATGAATTGAATAAGCAGCATTCAAAGGAAGAAACACAAATGGCCACGGAGTATCTGAAGAAACAAAAACGTTGAAAGTGCTCAGCCTCAAGGGAAATGCAAATTTGATCTACACCATAATTTCATCTCTCACCAGCCCAGATGGCCATCAGGGAAACAAATGACAAGAAATATCTATCAGGACGCAGGGAAAGATGAACTCCTAGTCACTGTTAGTAAGGATGTGAATTTGTGCAGTCACTATGGAAGTCAGTGGGAAGCTCCTTTGGGGCACCAACAATAGAACACACACCCAGGGAATTCAAAGTCAACAAGGCACGCTTCCCCATCCATGCTCACTGAAGCACTACTCCCACCGCCCAAGACACGGCGCCAGTCTAGATGTCCATCAACAGACAAATCGGTCAAAAATGTGTTGTCGATACACACCAAGAAGAATGAAATGAAGTGAAATTACGCCATTTGCAGAAAAATGGAATGAAAGACAGCCATGTCGAGCAAAATCAGTTAGATTTAGAGAGACAAACGCTGCATGTGTTCATCCCTATGTGCAGTAATATATATCGTTTTCTAGATGAAGGAGGATGAAGGTCTCCACACGGGAAGGGGAACAGCAGAGGGCGTGGGAGAAAGGCAGAATATCACCAGTTGGCTTTCATATGCTGGATACGGATTTAACTGCATATATGCGCACCCGAACGATGTGAAGACAGAACTGGGGATATCGGAGAAGAGGAAGAAGACAAGCCGGGGTGGGCGTGTGGGGCTAGGAGGAGAGCTGGATGACAAATATGGTCAATGCGTGCAATGATGTGTGTATAAAAGTGTCGCAGTGAAACACGTTAGTCTGAGTATGGAAACTACACACACTCTCCCGGTAGACTCTAACTCGCCTCCAGGTGACTTCTTCTCATACACAGTGCGATGAGGGGACACTAGGTCAATAACGGTTGTGCTGGATTGTGTGGGTGAGTGATGGAGAGGAAGGTTGTCACGTTCTGTGCAGGTGTATTGTTATTGCTCTTGCAGAGGACCTGAGTTCAATTCCCATCACCCACAGCTGTTTGTAATTCAAGGCCCGGGAGATCTGATGCCTTCTTCTGATCTCCTCGTGTGCCAGGCATGCACAAGGCTCAGAGACATTCACGCAGGCGAGGCATTCGTATACATAAAAATCTGAAAACACTGCGAGTTAGCAGATACATTAGCTGTATCTTTTAGTTGATTTTTAAAAGTTAGAAACACAAAATGGTAACAAGTATCCGTGTGTCTGTGTCTCCCACACAGTGTGTTTATACACACAACACACACACACAGAGTCTCCTACAGTTTCAAAATGTCTTATTTCTCTAAATTCTGATTTGTTCTATATTGTAACATACATTGGAAACTTTTTTATGTTTCTTAAACATGATTCCGAAGCGGAAATACATTGTGTTCCATTATATAGGTATTTCATATTCCTGAGTCTGTAAAGAGTTCATGTTATTTCAGTTTTTCTATCCATGATAAGCAAGTTGATGGGGGATATGCTTTGGATTAATCCCAGGAATTGCACAAAAGATAGGTAAATATTTTAAGGTTGTTCCAGAGAGTCTCCCATCATCACTCCTACCAACTCTAGGAACAGATTTCTTTAATTACTTCCTGTCTACACTCTCTACGTGAACATGAAGTACTTGGCTGTCCTCCCCTGAGATGCGTTAGCAACAAGCCTGCTTTAAACACATGTGTAGGTCACTCATCACACAGGTGCTAGTGACACGCTCCTTCCTATCTTCCCTCGGAGGTTCAGAGGAGCCTTCCTACTGCCTGCTGGAGCCTGGCATGCACGTCCTCGCTCTCCTCTGCCCATCCCCAACTGGCTCCCTGTAGGCACGTGCTCACCGTAGCTCAGCTCTTCATTCACTGGTACCCAGCTCTTAACCACTGAGCCAGATCTACAGCCCCTGTTTCGTAAGGTGGTATTTGGTTTGGTTTTGGGTGTGTGCGTGTTGGTGTGTAGGTGAGAGATCAATGTCAGTCACTCCCCACTTCACTCTCTGTAGACGGGGTCTCTCGGCCGAGTCCGCTGATTGGCTAGACTGTCACAGTTGAGCTCAGGGACCCTCCCGTTTGCATTCCAGACCTGCGATTAGGTGTGAGACAGGGCTTGCAGGTGCACACCTCCACATCTGGGTTTCCTTTGTGCATGCTGGAATCTGAGTTAAAGCCCTCATGCTTATAGAGCAAGCCCTTTACCACTAAGCCATCTTCCCGGCTCCATAATAACTCGATACTGGGGTATATTATGTACAGATGTTTACACCTGCATATATATATATATATGCAAATGTACACCTCACTGACCAGTTAAAAAGTTTTTAGCTGTAAATTTATGATGTTTTCCAGATACATTACCCAGAAATCAGACATTTATAACACATGTAATTCCCTTATGTTACTACACTTTCACTGGAAGGATAGTTCCCATCTTTGAGCCGAACTGTGAGAATACTGCCCTCTAGTGGGCATTGGACTGACATACATATTTATTATAATCCGGTTCTCAGGAAAATGAGTTTTAGAACTAGTATTCTTACTGCATTAGAAGAGATAAAAACAGACAGTGATGGAGTATGATCAAAATGCGTTATATGCATGTATAAAAATGTCACAATGAACGCCATTATTTTGCACAACTGATATATGCTACTAGATTTTTTAAAAAGAATAATACAATGATTTTTGTTTGTTTCTTAAGTATGCTTTCCTCAAAGTAAAACATCAGACCGCAAAACTCGCTGGGCAGGAGACAAAGTGGAGAGACATTCGATGCAGACAGTGCTGGGAGATGCTACCCTGCCGTGCGCTCTGACACAAAGGTTGGACTGTCAACACGCCAGTGTTCCTACCTAGGTCTTTCATTACGCATGAATGGAGGGATCCCTAAGGGAAGAGATGCTGGGTGTCCTGACACAGGCAGGACTCTAGCTTTGTGAGTCTTCACCTGTAAGTCCTCTCTTTCCCCCTAGTGGATTTTAGTCCAACAGACCAACAACTGCACCCGGGAGCCCATTGTGGGGACTATGCTCCCTAAGGGGGTGTTCACCACGTTATCTTACAGAGCGCAAGAGTTCCGAGGGTGCAGAGGAAGGCAGCCATTGGTAGCCAGGTGACCTGCTTAGAAAACACAATCAGTCACAGCTTGGCATACTCCCTGGGAGACACCCCACAGGGGGTTGCCCCACCCTGAGCTCCAGGGGCTTGTCCAGAGAGCATTCATGCTCACATTCTATGCAGTGACGACAGAAAGTTCCAGACAGAAAACAGAAGGGAATGACATAGGCTGGCCATAGCAACAGTCTCCAAGAGCATGAGCAGATCTTTGGGGTCACTATCCCTCCAGTGCAGGACCCTAGGAAGAAAGTCTGAACACGAAACTCAGGGCAGGGTGTACGCTGAAGACTGTCCTGCCAGAAACCGTTGGTCACTGTTTCTAACTTTCCACGTCAGGTCTGCAGATGTGACAAGAAGGGAGTGTGAAAATGAGACGCTCAGGAGAAGCGATTTTTTGGATGTCATATTGTCGGACAATGCATATGAGTGGTTGCTTATGTTTGCACATGCACGCACACATCTCAGTGTCCAGTCAAAATTTTGTAGCTATAAAGGTCTTTGTCAAATACAAGTCCTTGCAAGCTCAGAGAGCCACAGTCCCAGGAGCCTTGTGCTTGTGGGAAAACATCAATAACAAGAAAGATGCCACTATTCACATTGACGCCCACTAGCCGCAGGGTTGAAAGGGTGCCTTCAACTCAGAACGCTTCCAATTTGTGGTAGACTTATCGAAATGTAACCCTTAAAAATTGTGAAGTCTCTTAATTTATAATGCTTCTTTCTTGTTTCATAGTTTGGTACTGGGAATGGAAGTCTGGGGTCTCATACTGCTACACTTATAATCGATCCCTGAGCCACACTTCTGGCCAAAGAGACTTCTTTTGAAGATAGTGGGAAATGCCAGTGGCTCTCTTTAGGCTTACTAGAGCTATTGGTGAAGTTTATCTTTAGATTATGGACACAATGGCCCATTGGAGAAATCCTAAAAGGTCTTCAGATCCAGCATTGACAATACACCAGCTAAGTGTGCCAGGTGACAGACACTCGTGGAGCATGCATCAGTGATGGCTAGAAAGATGTCCAGTTTTCTCAGAGATGTGTGTTTTTAAATGACTTAAAAGACTTCTGGGACATGACAGGGATTGTAAATAAAGACCCTACCCAGAACAAGCACTTCTTTGGTTTATGTTGGGTTTTCGTTGTACTGAGGGAAGCTATGTTTTATAAGGCAATGGCTACCGTTTGTAAGCATTCCTAGGTCTGCCTTGGGTTAGTAAGGGTACCATACAGACACTAGCTTTAACTACACATTCACGTTTCATCTTTTGAGTCAGATATATCTTACAGAACAGTAAGGACAAGATTTTACTTGAACAATGTACCTGTCTGTGCTTTCTGCTACCTTCTGGTGTTGTGAGCAACACCGCAATGCACATGTTCTGTCTACATGTCCAGACCAGGTTTCTTACGGCCTCCTCAGAGTGGATGCTAGCAAGAAACTACTGAACCGAGGGAAACAAAATCCACTGGTTTCGTATGATGTGTAACCTGGCTGTCTGTTCCTGTAACAAAGGCCTGTAAAACACCGATTTGCAAAGAGAAAAGGGGCTTTGGGGCTCACTGCTTTGAAGATTGCAGGAGCAGCCTGTTGGCTCCATTGCTCTGGGCTTGTGGCAAGGCCGACACATAAGGACAAGACTGTACGACAGAACCATACCACAGATCTCATGCTGGGAAGCCAAAGAGAGGGAAGTGAAAGCTGTCCCCCTTGACGATAAGGCCACATCACTTACTGGTCCCACCTCTCCCTAACGTTGCTGCTTAGAGGGTAAGGCCTTTAGCATACTGGTCATGGGGGCACATTCCAGATTCAAGCTACAGTTGCCAGGTCTGATGAGTGACCTCAGTGCTGCACAGGGAACTGTCCCCCAAATCACCCGTGATGGGTGGGCCCCAGGTCCTCCCTTGTCAGCGTGTAACCCATGAGTTGACAGGGATTTGTGCTGTCATATCACTGTCCTTGCTAAATCAGTAAGATGACGGTTGGTCTTCGTCAACCTGACACAGTCTTAACTGAGAAAAGACCGTAAGATTGTTCCGTATGCAGGTCTGTGGGGCACTGTCTTGGTTTGTCATTGACATAGGAGGACCCAGCCCGCTATGAGGGTGCACCCCAGAAGGGAGGTCATGAGCTGTCCTAGAGAGCAAACTGAGAGGGTCCTAAGAAGCAAGCCAGTGAGCAGCGCTCCTCCATGGCCTCCGGTCCAGTTCTTGCCTCCAGGTACTTGTCTTGGATTCCTGCCCTGGCTTCCCCTCAGCGATGGACTGTTACATGGAAACATACGCTGAAATCAACCCTTGATGGGGAAGTCCTGTGTATATGTCAATAAAGCACTGTTGGCCGATAGGGAAGCAAGATAGGTAGGACTAGGAGTCGAGGAGGACCCTGGATAGGAGAAACAAGGGAGTCACGATGTAGCCCGCCAGAGAAGTAAGATGTCCGGAACTTTTCTTCAGTAAGAGAAATACTTAGATTAACAATTATGGGATAAATACTTCAGTCAGAGCTAGCCAGTAAGAAACAAGCAAGGCCAACAGCTTCATAATTAATACAGCGTCTTGTGTGTTATTTGGGGACTACAACGCGGCAGAGCCCAGGTGACTGGTGGGGAAAGACCAAAGCGGCTGGCAAGGAAAAGGCTTCTCTCTACAAACCTTTTCCTCCCCGCCTTGGTTTCGGCCTTGGTGCTTAATCATAGCAGTAGACACCTAAGTGAGGCAGCTTTGGCGCATTAGAGATACACAGCAACTCCAAGGGCTGTTCCCCTTCCCAAATGTTGTAGGCTGAGGAAAAAGAAGACTCATTATGAGCTCTGCGGCTCATTAACAGTCTCACTCTGCATAAGCAACCACTCACTGCCGCCACAAGCCGCCCTGGCTCTCATAATTCGCACCCTTCCTTCTGGGCATGGCACTCGGGAGACGGTACCAACAGGACTCTCCTAGAACCAGCAGGAACGTGGCTGTGCTCCAGCATACAAACACGATGGGTCTAGGGGGGATATTGCTGAAATTGTGGTGGGCCCTGTGGTGGCTCTGTGACCCTGTGACCCTGAGGTGATCACCAAACTCCTCTGGGCCTCACTCTCTCTCTCTGAGCACTGAATGTGAAGGTGTTACCTGCACCTGGCTAGCAAAACTTTTTGACAACAGAAGCATTTGATGTCTGTGCCCTGGAAACGACACAGTGAGGGGGCCTCTGTCCTGCCTGTCCCTCTCCATAGCATAGATGACTCCGCTCCTCACACAGGTAACATTCACCGGCGCGTGGCATCGCACTTCTAATGTGATCGCTTCGAGTAAAGCTATACCTTTTAAGATGTATGGCTTACATTTTGGATCTAACTAGCCTCTCTGAGACGAGACACAAGGACAATCATCCAGTGGCATGGTGGGTGTCTTTATTCTATGAAAAATAAAGTTACTCCCACAATAGCCTTCACCCCAACGCCAGCTGCCCGCTAGCACGCTCCATGAGCTCGGGCCGTCTCGCCCCTTCCTCTGCTGTCCTGAGTTCCCTCGCAGACTCTCTCCTTTTCATAGAATACTGACCTGGGACTCATTCTCAAACCCGCCACCGGTTTTTTCTTCTTTTAACTTCTCCGCAGACTTTTTGAATGGAAAACGTGCTGTGTAGACACACTGACTCTATGAACTGTGTCCATCTATGGTCACAAGTTCACCGGCAGTGTGAAGAGAGCACAAGGGTTGGGAAGAGGATGAAACACCAACATGTGTGTCAGTGTCTTGCTCGCCCCTGCCCTGCTCCAAGCCATGTCTTGCTGCCACAGAGGAGCATGACACTGTGCCCACGTGTCCCCTGAGAAACTGTAGTTCAAACACAGCCTCTGGATGTGAAAACAGCTATACTGTTTTCCAATAAATTTTAAAGATATCTAGATAAGTGTGTGTGTGTGTGTGTGTGTGTGTGTGTGTGTTTGTGTGTGTTTGTTTATGTGTGTGTAGGGAATGCAGGCTTATTTTTGTTTTGTTTTCTGTAATTTAATGCAGGCTTATTTTTGCTTTGTTTTGCTTTCTGTAATCTTGAAAGCATTTCCTCAAGCCTACTCACCATGGAAACTGAAAAGATATGAAGGGCTCTTGCTGATTGGTCAATTCATTGATTAGCTGAAGTCTATGAATAAGTCAGGACAAGAGTGGCAAATGTCATTTTAAATGAAAAATATTAAAACTTATTCTTAGCATTTAAATCTCATCAAAACATAAGAAATGGGTTTTCAAATCTTGAAAAAAAAGCTGTACAACTGCAACTAAAATGGGTTCCCTGTAGCTTCATAAGAACATTTGTAGGAAACACAATTTCCCTCTTTCATTATCCGAGTCCCTAATTCAAAGGATGCTCTTTGAGCATGTACCAAAAATAAAAAGGAGTACAAATGCTGATTGATGCCTGTGGACCCCTTCAGCTCAGGGAGGCAATCTGAATAAGCCTTGTCATCTGTACACAAGCACACTTGTGGTGCATGACAGTGTGGTGAGTGACAGTGTGTATGTGCTCACATGTGTGTGGGTGAGCGCACACACACACATGTCCCCACATCTCCAAGTATAAATGCTCAGTGTGCAATGCACCCTAGTACACACACACACATTCTCCCACACATCTCCAAGCACAAGTGTGCAGCGTGCAGTACACTACAGTGCACACACACACACACACAGACACACACACGTGCCCCCCACGTGTGTACAATCCATTAGGTCCAGATCTGTGACAGACATCTGTAGCACAGCCACCAGCTGGCCTGACCAGCCACCCATGGCTACTCAACCGCTCACTCACCGCATGGTGTAGAGTAGTGTGCCGTCATCCTCCAGCCTCAGAAGCTTGTTGGGTGTGGTCATGTTGTGCGCGATGGACTTCTTCCCGTTGTGGAAAAACGTGTCTGGGGTCCAGATCTTGCTGGCAAGAAGGTTGTTGAGAGGTAGCCGTTGCATGGGCCCCTTAAACCGCAGCCTTTCATCTTTCCAGCTTTGTCGGAAAAACACATCTATGGTGTACTCCTGGTGCAGAAGAAGGCATCAGGGTGATGTCTCTGCGGGAGACGCCCTTAACACAGT